ATACTTTGATAACATATCTCTGGTAAGTTTAGACACATACACAACGAATCGGTTATACCCAGCGTGATAGTGTCCATACAACCTGCTCTGACAAAGAATGAAATTCATTATTTTGCCAATATGGCCATAGAAACAATGATATACATAGAAACCAGAGATTGTAGCAAACACATGTAGCAGGAAATAGCGGAAATCTGTCATATAGTATTACTTTAGGTATGCTGACGGGAAACGTATGGTTAATTGCTTGTGATAAAGTCAGTTGTTAAAAGATACACATTAATGATAGTTACATAAATGATAATTAAGTGTTTGGAAACATGTTCATTAACCTATTGTAAGACGGATGACCATGCCGTACTGACCAAAGTATTTCTTTCTTAAACAATATTTTAACATCAACTTATCAATGCAGTTAATACTATACAATGTATTTCATTACCAGACAGTCCCTCGAAAGTTAGGAGGTATACAAATTACTAAAGGGTTACAAAACTTCCTCTCACTAAATTGTATTTTCATTGCGGATTATGTAAATATATTGATATTTGGTTGTTTACTTGCAACATGTAACAAGGAACAATATCTAGGATTATGGACGTGAAAGCTCTCAAAAACCATTTCGTATCTGATACATATAAACAAACAAAAGGATAACAAAACAAGGTCCATGTCAAACACAACAATGAATAAAAGTGTATTACTATAATATTATAATGCAAAAACATATTTTGATAAACATGAAGGTTAAATATAGTGTCTCACACAGTCCTACTCTAGTCTATAACAGTCAGATTTACAACTCTTTTTACTATATTTAGTAAGTAAATCTACTAAGTAGTAAGGACTTATACAGTGTTCATAAGCTATGTCAGTTTATCTCTCGACTTTAAAATAATAAAATTAGGACAGCTTTAATTATTTCGTATAAAGTGGATTGCGGTCATCGTTAGTTTTAATATATTGAAATAGAAAATAATATCAACTCTCCTCTTTTCAGAGTTGCAATGCGTTCAAGATCTGTCATTTATATTAAAACCCTTGTATCATTTTGTCAAACTGCTCCCTTGTTGAAATGTTTCAAAGTAGAAAGATTATCCTTATTTTGATATAAATGTTACATCAGTTCATTTTTACCATCTGAATTATTTTCGCTGTTCGGTTTGCCATAAATTCATAAAATTTTATTTCATGTTATTCATAATAATTCCTATTGTTTTAACAAGCTTAAATTTTAGTGATGAAACAATATGTTTTATGTCTAAATTTATTTCACTGACCGACTGTGTAGAGATTTTCATCGACTTGGTTATATTGAAAGAAACGATTTTTAATTTTTTTAAGTACTAGAATATTAAAGAAGAGAAAATTGGGAATCAAGAGTTTTTAAAAAAAAACTCATCAAAGATAAAATTTTGTTCACCAGACGAGCTTTTCGTCTACAAAGATTCAATATAAGCGATTCCAATAATTCAACATAGATTTAGTCATATCAAAATATTAAGAAATATTCAGTTTTTAGCTCACCGGGGCCCAAAGGGCCCCATGTGAGCTTATGCCATCACTTGGCGTCCTTCGTCGTCCGTCGTCGTCTGTCGTCGTCTGTCGTCGTAAACTATTTCAAAAATCTTCTCCTCTGAAACTACTGGGCCAAATTCCTTCAAACTTTAAGTAAATGTTCCTTAGGGAATCTTGTTTATAAATTGTATCCGAAGTTTTGATCCATCGACAAACATAGCCGCCATGGCTAAAAATAGAACATAGGGGTCAAAAGCAGTTTTTGGCTTATATCTCAAAAACTAAAGCTTTTAGAGCAAATCTGACTTGGGTAAAAGTGTTCAATTGGTCAAGATCTATCAGCTCTTAAATTTTCAGACGAATCTAACAACCCATTGTTGGGTTGCTGCCACCGAATTGGTATTTTTGCAGTTTTTTGTTATTATTTTGAATATTATTATAGATATATATAAACTGTAAGCAGCAATAATGTTCAGTAAAGTAAGATCTACAAAAAAGTTAATATGACCAAAATTGTCAATTGACCCCTTAAGGAGTTGTTGCCCTTTAAAGACAATTTAACACAATTTGTTCATCAAGTTTGCTAACCTTTAAAAATCTTCTCCTCTGAAATACAGGTGAGCGATTCAGGCTCTTGAGAGCCTCTTGTTTATGTTTCCATCGAAATTAACAAATCATAACATTCACTAATAAATATATTATTAACTATCAATATAAGTAAATGTTGCATTTGCATTCAGCAAATTGAATGTGCCCCTCTGAAGTGATAACGCTTAAAGTGCCATTTTCTAGAAATAAAATATCATACTATTTTCTAAGTTAGGCAATACACTACTTAAACTTATTGATAAAAGTGAAACAGATAGTGCTACTGGCAAGGATTTGTAGTGTATGCTTTTTATATTTCAGAGAAAGAAATTATTAAAAAGTATGAAGAGATGAAAACAGACAAAAGAGCTGATAAACACATTACTGTTGAGATGATACCGTTTCCTCTTACAAATGCTTAATAGCAAGCATAGCCATAAGGTGTATATCACATTTAGCAATTGTTAGTATCTTCATCCCTTGAATTGAAACTGATTATAATAGTGTATTAAATACTAATCTGTTGATATATGAGGTCAATTCTTTGATCTTCAGACATCCTTTTTGATAAAATACTTATAACAAGTACATGGTTACATTGGATTGTGTTTGTGTTGTTGATATCATTATAACTATTCTGTGTATTTTATTTCTAAGTCTTGCAATGTAATTAGCATAATACTACATTTTAAGGTAGATGGGGGGGGGGGGGGGGGGTCTTAATTGAAATACATAGATTTTTTTGATAATTTGTCAAAATGTAGTTTATATCATGCTTTTTTCCCCAAAAAAATAAAAAGTATGGGTCACTGAGCGTTTTTTCACGCTTCATGTTGTGCAAAATTGTCAGATTTTGTATCGATTATGCATGGACAATCCAATTTTGTGTGATAAAAAGAAAAATACACCATACAATTTTAGATAATATATGATAAGATAGCTTTAATAATATGCTTTCAGATAAGAAAAATAAAAATGGGGTCACCAGACTCGTTTTCTTGGTACATATTAAAATAGGTAAATTCACAACACACTCTATCATCAAAATAACTTTATCTGAGTTATCTCCTCTTTTGTGTCAAAAATGAAAAAAAATTAATCAAACAAAAATATTCTGTTTTTAGTAAAATACAGCCGTAAATATGATAAAACACATAATTTTCTATATCAACATGAAAAGTTTTACACATAAATTACATACTACTCTCGAAATTTGCACATTTCATTACAGCTCTAGACTGATTATTATCTGCTATTTCAAAATCCAAGATGGAGGAAGACATCCCAGCTACCTTAATACGGCCATTGTGTTATTGTGCAATGGTAATTTTTTCTATTCTTGTCTTTCATTTTTGCTTATGTGCTTTGTCTATATGCCATTTTTTTTTCTTTGTTGACACATTTGTTTGCTTTTAAAGTGATTAAGATTATAACACAATGTTGACTGCTGTACCCCTATTTTTGACATTTTAAACTTTTTATGACTGTTTGTTTTGTTCACACATTGTTGTCAATATAATGGAATTTTATGTGACTGTCACACGTTGAGAGGTTTAGCTAGCTATAAAACCAGGTTTAATCCGCCATTTTCTACATAAGAAAATGCTTGTACCAAGTCAGGAATATGACAGTTGATTTCCATTCTTTTGAAGTGTTTAAGCTTTTGATTTTGTCATTTGATAAAGGACTTTCCGTTTTAAATTTTCCTTGGAGTTCGGTATTTTTGTTATTTTACTTTTTTTCATAAATTTCAACAACAGTTTTTCGGTATTTTAAAGTATGCATATACAAATCTAGTACTGCTCTGACAACGCCTCTTAAACCTGCCACACATATATTGATTCGTGTGTATTCATGCATGTAAAGAAGTAAAACAAATATCATAGGATCAATCCACAATGAAATCATTACTTTTTTTTGAATTTCTAAGTAACAATTCTTTGTATTGACAATTATACTCGAGAACTCGAGAACCAAGTTAAGGATCACTTCCAAATTGAAATAATGTAATCATATTTTCACCATGAATGCGAGAAAAACTACTCAACCTAGAAACACGACCATGCCATGGTTTTCTGACAATATTATACCAACCATTTCCCAACATAATTAAATTTTTTAAAATTTTCTGAACTCATTCTATCACTCTAGGAGATTAAGTCGTTTAAAAGATAAATGGCTGAAATAAAGATAGTTTTGGTCCTGTACTCATTTTCTTAAGTGGAAAATCAACACGATTTTTCAAACCGCTATTTGAAAATGAGACAGCTATGTTAGCGAATGTGTACATTTAATTGAAAATAAACGTTTTAACCTTGCAGTAACAAAAACTTCAAAAGAAAGGGTTCTTTGGTAACAGAATCAGTCCAAACCAGGCACATTTTAGTTCAATGTCTTATTTTAGAGGACAAATCGGTATGTTAAAGGAAGTGGTACCACATAGAACTTCCACTTCATAAACGTTTTACTAAGTAAACACCAATTGCCAATAATAAGTCATAGCTTTGTTCTTTTGTGCCACTCTTAATGTCATAGCTGCTTCAAACATGAACGTTAATACTTTTCTAATGGTAAATGAAATTAGTCGTCCTTACCGTTATGTTGTTGAGTATATTTTGAAATATTTTGAAATAATCAGAACAGACCTGCTACTTTAGAGATTCCATTGAAAACATGTTTGTTCTTTTCGGTTCCTTGAGCACATGTTCGAAATTGTTTTACCCTCTGATTTTTTGTTTGAAATTTGTAAATAGAAATATCTTTTCATTTTCCTCAATACAATTTAAAATCGCTACCTATAGCAATGTTTAAACGAATTTATGACAAATTTGACATATCTTATATCCATTTCAAATTCATTGGCTAAAGTTTGGTTGCCAATATGTCTTTTTAAAGAGGTACTAAAACGCTATTATCATGTTTGTCTTATTCTAAAGTTCGTAATTAACGTTTAAGAATGCAAAAAACCCGATTCAATTTGGTCTACTAATAACGGAGAAAATAGCGTGTGAAGGTCGACTATTTTTACCTATGGAAAATCCAATCAACGCTACTTCCGGAAACACACTGAAAAGGAGATTTACCGGAAGTGACGTATACAGAGTAACTCCCGAGATTTGTTTCATTTTGATCAGTACAAACGTAAACATGGATGAAAACAACTCTGAATTATCGCTATCCTTCCAAAGCTCTTCATTTGAAAGCATTCAAGATGGTGATCGAGCAGAAGATATTCAACCTTATCAGTTTGAGCCAGAACTTTCAGAGAGAAGTAGCGAAGATGATGAAGATCTTGCGCAAAATGGGGACGTCGATATGGAACCCAGATTGGGAAATACAAACTGGTATGTAAAATTGTTTGATATTAAATGGTTTTAAATTGCTGCAGACAGGAAAATACATTTGATTAAATAGCAAACCCATTTGAACAACAAATTCACAAATAATTAAGCCATTCATGTTCTACTATTGCTATTATGAAATTTTACTTTTTTCCAGCATTTAACTGAAAAGACAGATCTATATGTACATGTATCTGATACAAAGGCTAATTATTTCCACATTTATGTCAACATCATATATACCAAATATTTTTTGCATTTTTAGTGCGACATTGTGCTGTAGTTGTATTATAGGTGTTTTTAATGTAATACATTGTGCTACATTTATTTTCTTAGATTTTAAAATGTAATTTTACTTTGCAGGTGTGACTGTGGACATTGTGAATCCATGCCAACAGCAAATCAATGCATTTGCTGTCAAGAACTAAACAGAATGACAGACAAAATGGAGGAACTACCTTCACCTACACTATGCATCACAGAGCATCCTGGATTTGAGCCGGTGTGTCTGAACCAGTATGTACTGGAAACAGCATATTACCAGTACAGACAACAGTATGGAGAGATTCAAGTGACAACTGAAAAGTGACTTTATAATTTAATAAATAGTAATTTTATTTTCATTACTATATAAATAACGCTTCATCACATACATGTATATATACATAATAACATAATCATGATAATAGACATAGACAAAATATAGATGCATAAGCAATCCAACATCAAATAATTTACAGAGACCTCATTTTGTTTAACAGCCAGTAAATAAGGTGATTTTTTATTAATATTATTAGTTACATGGTGTTAGTGACCTAATACGATATATATGAGGTCAGTAAATTCAATATGGGGTGAGAGCAAAGCTCGAATCCACATATGGAATTTGCTGACCCCATATACATCGTATTAGGTCACTAGCACACCGTGTAACAAATTTATCTTACCGACTATCTTCACATGTGGTATTTAGACTAGCGGCCTATCAAAGTGATTAAGTCTTCAATACTTAGTATTTAGAACCTACTTCCATTTGTCTACACAAAAACAAATGCCAACAATAACAACTTGTTACCTTTAAATGTGTTTTATGAATTTATTTCAATCGTTTATCATCAATTTCTTCATCTGTTGAAACCTTTCAGATTTTTCCTCAACACCGTGTTGTTTTTATAAAGGGATGTAACACCACTACTAACTGTGTATTGAAATAAGCCCCGCCTACTAACCTAATATGAAATATACACCATGCGAATGCTTTAAACCAATCATATTCCTAGAAATGTATAGGAGGTAAGATAATAATACATACAGTGCAAATGCACATGTTAATAGTTGTCTTTGACTGAAGCCAAAACAAGATACATTTCCCCAAAACTGATTGATATAATATAAATGTTTTATTTTTTTTTTAGGAGAAATCGTTATACAGCCTATCGTCAGTTGGCAAGATGGGGTTGGGGATATCTTGGAAAGTCTGTACGTGTTAGACTCCCAGCATGTGCTACCATTGCAATAAGAAACAAGTTCCAGTCAAACCAGTACAAAGGTTTTGAAGAAGCATAAATTGACTTTTTACAAACATTAATATATATGTACAAATATTCCAAGCATTCAATATTTATTATACAAATTAAATGTCATGTTTACAAAAATAGCACTTGTTCTTTATTAGATGTTCAATCTACATTTCTGGCTTCCTAAATCGAGATTGCATTTCTAGTATAGCATCTGTTTTTAGTGGATGTATGTACTCAGCACAGAGTGGTCTTGGTGCTTGCATTGGTACTTTTGGCGATTGTCGCATATTTGTTCCTTCAACGATTTTTCCTACAGATTTCATCAGTGTGTTGATGTATCCTGAAAGATAATTATATTATTATAACCTTCACTAAACAAAGTGATCAAAATTGGAAAATATCACAAGGAGCTATTTCATATCATTTAAAAAATAAATAAAGAGCTACAATGCATTAAAAGTGCCTGGGTTATATAATAACCATATTACTGAATTATGAATAAAAGGAGATGAGTACTGTGTGCGTCAACAAGACAGCAAACAAATGACACAAAATAATAAATAGACAAAAGGGTGTATTATTACAAAAGTCAAGGTCTTACTCATCTATTTATTTACAAAGATTACTCTGTTGAATGTTCATGTTGGGTTGCTGTTCCATATATACCTTTTATCTCATTGCGATTACCTGTAAGATGTTGCTGATACATATTCTTATTGGACTAAAATTTTTTAGAGTTAGAAAAAAATGGAAACTTACGGAATGATTGATTGATTTTTTTTTCTCTTGTTATGTAACCTCCACTTTTATACTTCGGAAACAGAATGTTATATCTCGCCAAACCATCTTCTGTCATTGCTTGTGGTCTGCCAGAGTTCTCATTGAAATGAAGTGCAGCAAGAAGCAGTCTGCAATGAAGGAATGAATAAATCATTTGTCATTAGAAGTGACAGGAAGAGACCAGACCTTTCACGTATCTCTGCATTAATAGTTTTGATGATTGAAATGGATTTCTTTAAGAAATTGACATTATGAACTGTTTCTCGTTGACTTTAAAATGTGATTACCTATTGCCATTTTAACAACATTAAAATATTGAATATAATTTACAATAATTTTACCTGCAGTTCATTCCATGGAACGAGAAACCAATGATCTTAGGGGCAAAGTGGTTGATTGTTGAGTGGAAAGCCTCAACATCAGAAGTCTGGTGTATTGGTGACAGCTTTCTTACAGATGTTTTGAGTCTGGTAGCTGTCAAAAGCTCTTCCAGCTTTACACAAGCCTAACTTCCTGAAATAAAAATCAATCTTTTACATATTTATGACTTTTTATGCCCCCATCTTGGTATTTGGCCATATAGTCTCCCTGGTGAATATGCATTTTTTTTCCACTGAATAATATCATTTGGACATAGAAATTTAAATGAAAATGTTACTTAATGCTTTATAATTCCTGATGATTGGGTGCTGATTGAGGTACATTACTGTAAGAAGATGACTTGGCTTATGTAACATTGCATGTGATTTCCTGTCAAAGCGTCGTCTTGTTTCTTATATTTGATATAAAAAAAAGAAATGTTGTTGCTGCGGCCTAAAATATATTCAAAATTCGTTTAAACTAAGGCATCTTTAAACTTTTTTTTTGTGGCCTTGATTTTTCCCTCATTAACATATACCTTGTAGGAACTTTAAATGGCCTTTTTACCAAAAGCCTGAATTTTATGATATAACAAGACTAACAAATAGTGTAATAATATCATACCTGGTTTTAACCATTTCTTTTTCCTGTCTCTTCCCACTAATCTTCGATGTTTACAGCTTGGAAATGTGTCAGAGTGGCCTGTATGGATGTTCTGTACATGGTTAGCCACCGACAACCATTTGGACACCATTTCTTCTCCATCACCAGCTGGTGTTGAAGCTGCTACCCAGTACATGTGGTTTGTGATGCTTTTGATCCACTCTCCAACTTTTGCACAGTCCGTCTCCTTACTGAGTTTAACCATTTTTTTCTTTTAACCTGTTAAAAACAAGATTAATACAAAAATGAAAACTTTTTTACAACTACATCTTAAGGAGAAAAAAAAAACAAAACAAATCATGTGATTTAAGGATAATTTCTGCAAATTATCCATGGGTAAGTTAAGCAATTTATTCCAAGAGGTATGTTAATTCATAATAAAATATCGTTTAATATTAAATTAAAACTAAGATCTTTCAGATCGATCAACAAATTTTAAACAAACCTTTTGCCACATGCCAGACGTCGAAGTAGTGTTTGATGTGTGGTTCCTTCTCTCTAACGTACTTCACAATTTGAAGATGCTGATCGGTGACAAGCGTCTTGACAGACAAGTTGTTGTCACCTATCCATTTCAAGGCACGTATCAGACCTTCTTTTTCCATGGCATTGCTGGACTTGACCTCATTACTCTGGAAAAGAAAGCAACATTTATAGGCATCCCACTGAAGATTTTGTATTAAGATAAGAATTAGGCAATAAATATCATGGTCTTTTATGGCATAAAATTGCAACTCCTCAGCAGGATACCAGTTGTTCAGTCTTTTGCATAACAAAGTAGAACTTTAATGTATAAACATTCATCATTTTACATTTGCAACATTGTTTGTTATTTCTTACGTATTTTCAACTTTTATTTTTGACTATACAATCTGTTTGAAGTTATTGCAAACAGTTCTCAGTTTACCTTATTCTTCAGAAAATATTTGTTGAAGGCAAACTAGTTATAAATACCAATATCCATTTTTTGTGTATCTGTGGTTTGTTTCCCTTTTTTTTTGTCATTATAAATACAGTAACTATATTGTCATTGAAGAAACCCTAGGTTTTTATAGATTCTGATGAAAACTAGCAATTTCTGAAAGTTTTATGAAATGATTCAATACTGCATAATCAATAATTTGTTACATTCAATTATATGTGTTATGTGTTTCATACCTGAACCAGTTGAACATCAATAACAACACCTTGGTTCAAGTCTACAATTGAATAAGACCCATACTTTGCAGAATGGCCTGGAGTATCAGCCCTACCATCACCACCAACGACCAGGGACTCCCTACCGTCTCTGTATCTTTCTACATGTTGCATTTGCTGGTGCTTCCAAAATCGTACTACGGCTGGGTACAGGAAATGTCTCTGATGGTTGAAGAAGGTCTGATTTGAAATTGTTGCAATGTTCATGAAGTTCATAAAGCGCAAAACTTTGGTCGGTAAGGCACCAGAAAATAAAATTGCACTGGAGACTGCCAAGTTACCGGTTGGAACTGATCCAATAAATGACTGACTATGCCATACGTAACTGTCACTACAAAGTTCACATTTGACTTCAACTTTTATAAGAGTCCCCACTATTTGAGAAATAGTAGCAATAGCACAACCACAACATTTACGGCATATCTTAAACAAGTCCATAAGCTGGTCTTCACTAACAATATATTTCTTTTCTTGTAGACCTGTTTCTAATCTGTTAAAGTAAAATGAAAAGCATGATAAACTTTATTTGTTGAAACCGATTAATTGAAAAAAAAATATATATGCAATTCATTTTCTACTACATGTAAGGGACTTTTACTCCTTTAAAACTAAAAGCATGATTCTAAATTTACTTTTTGACAAAATACTGACAAATTACCAGAAGTGTCCAATTTTGTCAGTATTTTGTCAAAAAGTTTAGTTTTAAAGGAGTAAAACTAAAAGCATGATTCTAAATTTACTTTTTGACAAAATACTGACAAAATTGGACACTTCTGGTAATTTGTTTACATTCCCATAACATATGATAGCAATTGTCTATACCTACATCAAAATAGTTTATTTCGGTACTACAATGTATAGCTTTTTCCACCAACAAAGCTAACAATCACGATAGAGTACAAGTATATTGGAATACTGAGTAACTTTTCTTTACAAAAAATTCTCAATTATTTGTTCTTGCAGTGTTGAGTGGTTAAACTGCTTTTACAACTGACATTCAACTTCCACTTTTTATGATTCAAAAACAAACCCATATAAACTGATTAGCTCACAATTTGTGCACGTGGTATTCATTCAATTTGTCCACTGTATTATTATATTTTCCCGATTCATTTTTTTCCTTTATAATGTTAACCTAATAAAGCAACTTACTCATTATGAGAATCATCACTACCACCACTGTCCGAAGAATCACTAAGGGATGGTTCATATGGAAGATCTTCGGGATCATCAGAAATAACTGGATCATCAGGTGTTATGTGTTCAATGTCATTAGCATGTTGTTGGACTCTTTCTGTTGTATTGTCTGCAGGCTGTGGCTGATGTGGTGTTGGTATGAGATCACACTGAATAGCCATACTACGATATCTTGGTTGAAAGTCAGCTTTAGTACCTAAGTAGACAAAAATGAAATAGTAACTTTCAGATACACTTCATAAAAAGTATGCACTAGCTGTCAGCTACTTGAAATTGCAAAAGATAAATTGTTGGTGTTTAACACCAATTTTAGCAATATTGGCTATATTGTGGTAGTAAGCCAGTTTTTGTTAGAGAAAGAAGATGGAAGTTCCCCCAGAGAGAAAAATTGACCTCTGCAAACCTACTTGATTAAAATTTCATATTTTATATTTTCCAATACAAAAACATGTTCCAAAATATAATCATGATAATGCAGAACTTCAGCTTCTAAATTTTTATACGAAAAGTTTACAAGAACTTTTAGAAAAAAAGTGTTATATTCATGTCATGACAGTACTAAGTCAATTAATGCAGGGACTAATACTAGAAATTAGTCAGCAAAATAAACCAATAAAAACTCATGGTATTTATGGAATAACTCACATTTTTCTTTAGTTTTCGGATGAACTTGAATTCTGGCAGATCTGAACCTCCTTTGAGTTGAAACTGTTGCTGTCTGACTGTCTGCTGTTTTCTGCGAGTTAGTTACATTTACCTATAATAACAGAAATGTAATTTTAAATCATAAATCCCAAAATAGGACAAAGTAACAAAGTCTACAAGGTAAAATGATCAAATATACATATTTATATGTGCAAATAAAAATATCACAACATAGATTTCCTTATTTTTTGAATGAATAATTTGTAAAAATCTAATGGAAGACAATTGCTCATTGTTGAAGGCTGTATGGTAAACTATAGTTGTTAACTTCCATGTCATTTGGTTTCTCGTGGAATCATACCACATTTTCTTATTTTCTATCATCATGAATTTAACCAGTTATGAAAATTATACCTTTTCAATTTCTTTTGAATGAGTGGTTTCCTGACTATCACTGTTGCAACCTTTACTAGCATTAATAGAATGTATAGGTTTATCTGGCTCAGGGCTGACAGGAGATAGCACAGAGTTATAACATACAGGTGTGTCTTGCTCAGGGCTGACTAGAGATGGTACAGATTTATTGCATACATGTACAGGTGACTCTTGGTCTGCAGAGGGTTCTAGGGATGGGTTAGCATTCTCATCATCAATGAGCATGGGAACTGTTGGAATTAATTCTGGCGGGTTCTTAGTTTCTTCATTGGGTGGATTATACAACAGTTCCTGTAGTATCTGAAAAAGAAAAGTATTTTGGTGAATGCTTGTTTATACTAAGTCTCACAAAGCAATCTCTTACATGTATTGCATAGTTTGATTTAAAATGTTATTCACTGTGAAGGAGCATGGACATTATAATAATAATGTTATTATTTCTTTTTATAAAATTTATTTATCCACATAATTGTTTTTCATTTCAGTTAGATCATTAAGACTATATTAGGTTACCCCTCCTCCCCTTTTAACTCTGCTTTTCACGAAAAAAAACAACATAAAATAATACTACTGAATTTATGTCATGCCTTCATACAATGACATAACTGATTTAGATTGATTAATTATAATATGTAATAAAAAAGATCATCTGATAGAAAAAAATAAAAAAGTAGACCATTTATTACAAAAATGCCAACTCCCAAAAAGAAACTGGAAAATGCATGGGAAGTATGACATTTGGTGAAATTAGTTACTTTTAGATACTATGATGTTAAAAAAAAGATAAAGATATAGGTTTCGGAGTATATAGTATTTTATATTTTTTTTTGTAAATTTATATAACTAGTACATTTGGGTTCATGAGTTTTGCCTGTGATAAAATCTAATAAACTAAAATGTTTAAATTCACAGCACCTTTCTAATGATGTTTATTAAACTCACAGAGTTTACAAATGTATTTAACAACAGGTGGTATAGGCATGGTCCAGTTGTTAATTACCTGATTGGAGGGATTACAACTACTGATTACTCAACTGTTTGATCTTTATGACTTTACAGTATAACAGGATGCTATTTACTATATATAGGTGTTAAAATCTAACTGTTTTAATTAACAAGATCAAAAGGTGATACAGATTTACAGTCTTAGTTTGAATAGAAAAAATGGCAACTAGATATTATTAACTTTCCCTAAACATTTCCCCCTTTATATTTCTGTTTTTTTTTTATTTTTTATTTCAATTTTCTGAAATAATAAATAAATAATGTTTCAATTTTACCTAGGACCAACAAATTTTACTGATTTCTATTGGACTGAGTAATTTTATTATTATTTAATTAATGGCTGCTGACAAGCATCTTTACTAATAAATATGAGTTACCCTCTTTATAATTGTATTAATTATGTGTGTCGAAGGTTTTGATTACAAATTAAAGTAATGCAAAAATATGGATTATGTTACCCCATTTTTCTCTTGAAATCTTGGATCCACACCAGAGGCTGAAAATAAGTTTAGGTCAATTCAGGCTGTTACACACATATATATATCTCAGTAGCATGAGTTCGAATCCCGGCGAGGGAAAAATAAAAAAATTGTGAAAGCAAATTTACAGATCTAACATGGTTGGGCTGATGTTTAGATGAATTATATATACATGTATATATATATATATATATATGCACAAATGCACAAAGAAGCTTTTGAAAATAGGAATTTGTTCCATTTTGCTCATTTCTATGCTTAGATATTCTCTATTCTTTATATACATGTATATGTTTCCCATTATTCTCTATTATTATATATGTTTCTATTAATCCTCTATTCTTTTTATATACATTTCTCTATTTATTCTCCATTCTTTATACATGTTTCATTATTCTTTATTCTTTATATATGTTTCTATCTATTCTTTGTTCTGTATATATACATGTATATATGTTTCCCATTATTCTCTATTCTTTATATATATGTTTCCCATTATTCTCTATTCTTTATATATATATATGTTTCCCATTATTCTCTATTCTTTATATATATGTTTTCCCTCATTCTCTATTCTTTATATTTTTTGCCTATTTTTCTCTATTTTATTATAATTGTTTGTCCTTTAAAATACACTTTTTGCCCATTATTCTCTATACTGTATATTCTTATAACCCACCCAGATCCTCATACAATGACAAAATTTATAACAAACAGAAGTGTAAATCCTATACTTTCATGCAGTGTGACAATTAAACCATACAGCATAGTTACCATAGTAAAGAATCTATAATATATTCTTAGTTAGGCCAGATCACAAAATTAATTTGAAAGTGCATTTTTTATTAATGCAAATAAAGAAAATTGACCTTCACATCCTAAGTGAAATTTTTACGGAGTGGTGTACTTCGTTTGGGACAAATTATATTTAAATTATAGATTACTTCATCAGTTCTAACTCAAAATATAGAAATTTTATGCTGAGGGGGTTACAATCAGTATGACGGTTTCACATTTATACTACATTGTAATTTTGTAACTTTTTCAACTGTTAAAAGTGTTATTTCATCTCCCTATACATGTATGCTAGTATTACTTGCTTGATTTTAACCATAATGAAATAAATTTGGAGGGTGTATGAAAAATATTGGCATGTAATCTGGAAATATTAGTATAATATATATAATAGAGATGTAATATATACACTGTCCACTGTGGACTTTACTATGTCATTAAATTCTACATATAGAATGTTATAAATCTAAATATAAACACTAGAAATTATTTTGAAAGATATCTCATATATTACATGTGTATGTATAAAGTTACTTAGAAGTGGTGACAACGCAAACGGTGCATAAAAAAAATTGACAAGAGCAGAATGGGAAATGCAAACCATGCGTATCATACATTTTTGCCCTGGCTATAAACCTAAATAAAAAATCAAAGCAAAAGACTTTTTGCCAACAAAAATTTTCAAGCTCCCATGTCAAGTACATGTACATGTACATACTAGCCCAAATAATTATGACGTCTTGAAAGACTATTATATTTTTTTCAATGACGCCTTACATCGACGCAGGAAGGCGTCAAAGCAAAAATTTAAAATAGCCTTCCAAGACGTCATAATTATTTGGACTAATGTACATACGTTCATATACATACAAGAAAAGAACAAAAATTGTGAAAAAGTTCTTTAATCTTACCTTGACCCTTTCTCTTTTCTGTAGAGCTGCAGATGTTCTTAGTTTCTTCTTAGGTTCAGCAATAAATCCCTCATTGAGCACGTCTGCAGGTCTTTTGGGGTAAATACTTGGCACTGAATTTGGCAAAAGTCTCTTGCTTGTGGATAAACCAAATAACTCCTTGAATTTGATTCGGTCAAATTCGTAACAGTCGTCTGAGAAGTGAGCACTACATATAGCAGAGTTTTTAGATGGCTCAGAAAAATCAACACGAGTCAGTTTTACAAAACGTATCCACAAGACACGTTGTCGTTCTACTTTAGGAAACAGGTGTACGGAATGTCCAGTTTTGGTGGAATTACTGCACCCTGCAACTGCACAACGCTTTCCCATGGTTAATTATGGGAATATAACAAATCAATAAACGTCAATAAATATTCTAAATTCAATGTCAGTTGATAATTGTCACCTTTCGATAGTACTTTCACTTTGCGAACTGACCTGTTTACATATCTGTCTCTAATGTATATGACCCACTATGCGTCACTTCCGTTGGATATAAGTAGTGAGTTGTAGTGGCGTGTTTTACTAAATCGTTCAGGTGTTCAAATGACAAACTGACGGTAATTTGCAAATATCTCGATAATTACAAAACGGAATTTTATCGGGTTTTTTGCATTCTTAAACGTTAAATACGAACTTTAGAATAAGACAAACATGATTTTAGCGTTTTAGTACCTCTTTAACAACCTTGCCTTTTTGTAATTGACATAATCGGTATAATTTTTCAAATCAACCAGAGGAGACATTTACAATCTTTATGACCATGCATCATTATTTCACGTCCTTGTCATTCAATTAAATGTTTGATTTAAATACAAACCTGTAGCACATCTGTCCTAAAACTGCGCAACCAAACTCTATTGTTTCAGGTCTCATGGCACCAAAACCAAATTCAGTCAACTGACATAAAATTAAGACAAAATGTAAGAAAGATCCTCAAAAGTAGTACGATATTCTAATGTCGTTTATTACTCCGTAGTAGGAGTATAATACGCAAAAGAAATTTGTAAATCAATGTCAAACGATAACAAAGACATCAATCCGAAAGGATTTACTTTTTTGTAGTTCTTTCAAGTATACCCAAAATGTCGGGTTGAAAGACTATGACATCGTGGAAACACATTGATGGTGCAATTTTAGGCTTTAAGTTAATAGTAATCAAAGCTTTATTTCTTGTATTCTTTGCTTCCTTTTTACTTGTTTGTCTGAACCTGTGTTTGTTTTGCCCGGTGAATGTGTAGTCATCTTATTTTCGTTTCAGATATTGTACTTATAATATACTCAGTTTTAGCTTACTAGTAGCTCATAAGTTATTCATTACATAAACACAATAGCTAAAATTAATTCAACCATGTTCAATCATTTATTTTTTTTAGAAATGAGTGCTCAATCCCTCAAACTGAGGCAAAATGCAATAAAAAGGTACTGAATTCAAGTTATAAAAAGCTTTTCATGAATACAAGTATTCGTAAGCGAATAATCCTTTTTAAAAATTTCATTATCTGTTTGTGAGCGATTCAAAATAACCTATAGATAATAAATTCCAAATTTGTGACTTTATATATGATTTTCTTTGTACCTAATGATGTAAACAGTAGCAATATTGTATACAAGCATAACAAAATTAGATGGTTTTTTTATGCTGTTGCTAACTCACCTTGTGTTATGGTTGTTCTCTATGAAATAATGTAACCAATTTGCTGTTTTGGAATTAAAGCTATATTTAAAAATCAAATTGAGTTAAAGTGACTATAGTTTTGCAACTTGCACATTCTTATTAATGCAGTAGTACTGTGAAGTAATATTTAAGTGTCAATGAGAGGAAAACTCGGTTAGCAATTAAAAAAGCTTAAGTCCGATGATATTAAGGGGGAAACTAATCAAGACAATCACGAACAAAAAACAAGAGTCCACTAAAACTTAGAATTAATCAATACGAATACTATCATTAACCCATCCGTTGAAGTAATTCCATGTTTTATACACAAATCAAACTACAACAACTAACTCGCATGAACTCTAAATGGTGCAAGACTGGTTGTGGACAGGGTAAGCGACTCACACTTGTTATGCAACATCCATTAAGCGAATTAAATTTCAAATTTAGGAAATTTATTTGGAATGACTTAATAGGTCTCTGTAAAGCAATAGCCATAATTATTGCTAGTGTTTGGCCTTTTGAAAGATCGATCTGAAAAAGTATGAACCGCAGGTGGTATATATTTGCGTAAGTATTTATCTCGTTTTTTGACGTAGAGAGATGTTGAATAAATTTGATTTAAAATGACAATACACGTACGTGGAGCTTGATTAAAACGTCCAATATCATCGTTGCATTCGTTAGAAATATCTGCTCAAGTTCAACATAGTACAATGAGAAATCTGAACACAGGTTTAAAGTTGTTTTTATGATATCTTTTGAGATTATCTTTTTTGGGGAGACTTATATTTTCGAAGATATTGTGTCCTTGACAACATTATTGAGATAAATAAAAATTTATTTTAAGAACAATGTCGATGATTTCATATACAAGGATATTGGCTACGGTAATTGATATATAAGTATGGTCATTTGCGTCAATGATATTTCATAACGGCTTATCACATCAAGATGTCGTTTGTATAACTTTCGAAAAGATAGCTTCGACTTTACCATGAAGAACTCTTGTTTATATAGCTTATTTGACATTTTTAAGGTCTCACGTTATTGCGTTAACGTTTAATAGTCTTTTATATCTTTTGATGAAAGTAATTAATAATAAACTCATCATAGATACCAAGATTGAAATTTTGTATTTGCGCCAGACACGCGTTTCGTCTACAAAAGACTCATCAGTGATTAATACACTTTGATTTTGTTGTGAGTATATTTTTGCAGTTTTCATTAACGTTTCGTATTAAAAGACACTGTCTGACCTATATTCATACACTAAAATATATATAAGATATCAGCAATTATTAATTTAAAGACGATAAGAAAAATAACGTGCTCAAAATAACACATGTCTTAAGATAATGATTTAGCAAAAGCAACCCAAAATATTACAAGATAACGATGTTCCTTACGATACCGGTTTATCATGCACAAGTGGCAGCAGTCCAGGTTCTCAACACATGTTTAACTATTATGCTTCCTGTTAGACAAAGAAGAACTAAGTTTTGACTGGTATAATAAAAAAAAGGGTTGGAAGTTAGATATTTGCATGGAAATGTAGTATAGTCGCACACTTTGTCGGCTCTTTCTAATTTACAAAACACGTATAAAAGTTGTTTTGCTTTTATTTGTATGTTGACAAGATGTTGTCTGCATATTATTAAATGATTTGATTTCTTTGTGAAATCACCTAATGCGATTTTCAATTAACTGTATCACGCCATGAACAACACGAAGGATGCCACTAGTGGTGGATGAACTGCCTAATCTTCTGAAGCAACTGAGGTGTCAACTTTTGGTTTTCTCTAAAACATTTTATTTATCGTATGTCATTCCGTCGTTTGTTATTTTTGCCATGATGCTGTCTGTTTTTGTCAGACATGGTATGTTGCTGCCAGTTAGGTATCACATGCGACATTATATATAAAGTTTCATTCTTGTTTTATTTACGTACAATTATTATTTCACAATCTTATTAGACGAGCCAAAACCAGAATATACCTTTTACTGTTGTTTATGTAATGCAGATATCGTATTGCCTTGGTCAAAGTTGTCATATTTATTGCAGTTATTTGTGTATTCAGAAAACGATAACAAATAGTTATCACTTATAGTCATTTTACTGACTCTTCGTTTTCTAGTTTTTGTAGTTTTCACAAGATAAAACTTTTTTTTTCAGATGACCCTTTTAGGTGATGATATGCATGCAGTTGAGTCACTAAATAATGAACTAAAATCCTCACAACTATTGTATTTTACCTGATTAAATTACAGATGTTTCGCCACTTTATATTAATAATGTTCCTTAGAAAACTTATCTCTGCATCAAAACTTAGGCCTTACTTTTATATAAAGCTAGGTTAGAAAATCTTTGTCAAAGACTTGCATTAACAGTATGAGATAACAGAGAGTCTATAGATTGCAAACAACAATTGATTTCCCCATTTGCGAGAATAGTAGCCTTTTTTGAGATACAGACTTAAGGAAGCTGATTTTTAGAACGAAACCTTGCTTGAATTAAAGAACAATTATTCGGACAGTATTTCTTAGTCCAGAAAATATAGGTTCTCGTTGCTTTTCTTAACGCAATTTGTACTTATCTACCTTGCCTATCAATTCTGCACTTAAAAATCAGTATCTCGTCACAGACTTCTCAGGCCCTTTAGGGCTAAGGAAAATATACTATTTTGCATTTGGCAAAATGCAGATTGGACGAAGTATCTAGTAATAAAAAATATCGGCTGCACACAACGACCAAACAGGATTAGCCATTCTCTTAATTCTGAATATCATGTATCTTCAGAAAATGGCTGCGCCAATAAAATCTAAATGGTTTATTGTATCCTTAAGGAATCCTTATTGTTACAAATGTAAGAAAAAAATAGAAATTTGGTAATATTATTTGAACCAGGAAGAATTTGAACTTAACTAGTTAGTCTAAATAGATGCTGCTCAAGTTATTGATTGAGCTATCTTTCATTCAAATATATAAATAATGTGTTATAGCTATGCATTGTTCTTTAATACGCGGAAAGGAAATGCATGTTTGGGATAATAAGTGTAACATTTGGGATAAAATTATGTTACGTTTTGGCCAATGGCAAGTCGATATTTGGGCAAATCCTTCCATTTAAATATAAATTACATGTGAAATATCTATTTTTCATTTATAAGTTAATAATATATATATATATAACGTCTTGATATTAGTCAAAAATCTTTCTTACGAGGGCTCTGGATTGTTACGAGAAACGGTACATGTACACAATAAATAAATTATATAAACGCCTAAAAAGTGTACAAAACAACACCAATAATAAATTAAAAACCAATTGTTCAGAGAACAATTGAAGATCTTTCCACCCGAAACGATATATTTTGATGTGAAATTATTAAAACTCGGTTGGAAAAGTAATTTTCAGCGCCAAATGATAGCTTATTATACGCTGAATTTAAAAATATATGGTTTCTATACATTTTTGTTTGAAATAAGGGAGATAATTTGTTACTTCCGGTTTGAAAAAGGTCACTTCCGGTATCATTTGATAGTTTACTTGACACTGATTCCAAAAATATATGGTTCTATGTACTTTTACATTAAATATGGACAAGAAATAGCCACTTCCGGTTTACAAAAGGTCATTTCCGGTTGATTTTTTCAAGGTCATATGGCTTGCAACTTAATGCACAAAGTACCATAGCTTTATCAGGCATACATTAAAAGTTAAAGCAAAGGTCAAAATCTAGAACGTCAAATCAAACTTTGACCTTGACCCCAATTTCAAGGTCATGAAACAAGGGCCTCAAATCAAAACACTCTAGGTCTCTACTATATATTGTTAATGAGTTATATTACCATACAGCTAATATTAGATATAAAAGGGGCGAAAACTCCCATCAAGGTGGCTCACCCCAATAAGGACCCCCGGTAGAATTTTTTTATTTTCACATATTTTGTAGATTTTTTTATGCTGAATCTAAAAATGCAAAGAAAAAAGGGGATCACCAGGCTCGTTTTCCCTT